ACAAAGCCCAGAGTCACCGTGAACGAACAAACAAACAAAACCACTCACCCATCACACTGTTGTGTTTCCTTTAAAGTCCCACGCGGTTTATTTGTGAAAAAAGTTAGAAAACAGACCATTTAATGACAGTGCGTCTTATAATCCAGAGTGACTAATAGTGCGGAAAATACGGTAATTTAATATTGATTCGAAATTAGTTGTACAGTTTTTGTTTTGTTTTTTTCATAAGATTTATAATTTAAATGAACTTAATATTGTTGAAATTTCAAAATGATACAGAAAGAAGATTTTCAAGATACTCAGAGACGTTTTACAAAGGCAATTAACAGAAAAAGACAGTTAATGAAAGGTGGTTTTAAAGAGATGTTTTTTTTTTAAAAACATGTGTCTGATTTAATGAACATTTTTGCTTTGAATTTAGTAATAACCCAGTTGTTGCAGTGAATCTACAAAGAGACTCGTGTGGAATCAGTTAACCAAACATTTTTAATTAAATCCAACATTTCATTTCTTAGTGTGTGGACATGTTACTTCAAACTGTAATGTGTTATTTATTTATTTATTTATGACGTGTTTCTGTCATTTCAGAGTAATTTGTTAAATTACAATATTACTGTGTTTAAAAAGTAAAACATTACAAAAATATTACAAAACGTTAACTCACCAAAACAGCTGAGAGAAAATGCTGAACTTTTGAAACTGTGTATGAACTGAACCATGACTAAACCAGGAGGATGGAACCAGGACTAAACCAGGTCTAAACCAGATCTAAACCAGGTCTAAACCAGATCTAAACCAGGTCTGATCTAAAAAAGGACTAAACCAGGTCTAAACCAGGACTAAACCAGGTCTAAACCAGGACTAAACCAGGTCTAAACCAGGACTAAACCAGGTATAAACCAGGTCTAAACCAGATCTAAACCAGGTCTGATCTAAAAAAGGACTAAACCAGGTCTAAACCAGGACTAAACCAGGTCTAAACCAGGACTAAACCAGGACTAAACAAGGTCTAAACCAGATTTAAACCAGGTCTGATCTAAAAAAGGACTAAACCAGGTCTAAATCAGGACTAAACTAGGACTAAGGTAGGACTAAACCAGGACTGAACCAGGACTAAACCAGGAGGATGGAACCAGAACTAAGGTAGGACTAAAACAGGTCTAAACCAGGACTAAACCAGGTCTGGTCTAAAAAAGGACTAAAATCAGGTCTAAACCAGGTCTAAACCAGGACTAATCCAAAAGTGAACCAAACCTGAACCAGGACTAAATCAAGTCTAAACCAGGTATAATCCAGAACTAAACCAGGTCTAAACCAGGACTAAACGAGACGATGTCAGTTTTAGCAAATTTGTCTGANCATGGGTTTTTTTAACCGTATTTTACGGACAATTTGTCGCTCTGGATTATAAGACGCACTGTCATTAAATGGTCTATTTTCGAACTTTTTTTTACAAATAAACCACACTGGACTTTAAGCGAAAACACAACAGTTGGATGGGTCAGTCGGTCTTTGTTTGGCGCGTTCACGTTGACTCTGGACTTTGTTCAGTTGTGATCGCGTGGAGACTCAGATTGGCACATAGGACTCATTTTTTCTGTTCGTTCCTCCGTTCCGTTCCTCGTCGGCGTGGAGTGATGAGTGTGTCTGTGGGTGTGTTTCGCTGTGCGGTCGCTGTCTGTTCCATGTCTGTTTGTGGCGTTGTAGTTTACTGAAGTCGTGCTGGGACACCCGAGTGGATTCGTGTATAGGGTGCTCTGGATTGCAGGGTGCTCGGGATTGCAGGGTGCTCGGGATTGCAGGGTGCTCGGGATTGCAGGGTGCTCGGGATTGCAGGGTGCTCTGGATTGCAGGGTGCTCTGGATTGCAGGGTGCTCGGGATTGCAGGGTGCTCGGGATTGCAGGGTGCTCTGGATTGCAGGGTGCTCGGATTGCAGGGTGCTCGGGATTGCAGGGCGTGCGGTCATTTTTTGATGCAGTTAGAGGCTTAAGACCGCGGCTAATCGCCTGGAAAATACAGTCGATCTACGTCTTTAGATCGACGCTTTGTTTGCTGTTGTGTTGTTCCACTAAAGGGACCCAGACAGACGCCACGAGTTTCACGTCATGGCTTCACCGCTCTTCTCTGATTGGTCGGCGCGCGGTCTACAACTTTTGGGGTTCTTACAAAACGCCTAGTGTATTCTGATTCCTGACCTTGTCGCTGGAGAGAAATGAAATGGAGCGGAGGCACTAGGTGGCACCAGAGTCTGTAGCAAATCACTACTGAACAAAAAACTCTAAAATGTGGCTGTAAATTAACTTGAAAACTACCGCTTCTTGACATCACAAGGTGGAACAGGGCGTTTTGAGCTTGTAGACAGACTTAGAGTTACTGAAACATAACATAACAAAAACATAACATTGTTACCATATTTTCCGGGCTATTAGTCGCGCTCTTAAGCCTCTCACCGCATCAAAAAACGGCCGCGCGCCACAATCCAGAGCGCCCCATACACGAATCCACTCGGGTGTCCCAAGCACGACTTCAGTAAACTACAAAGCCACACCACCGGCAGACACACAAACACACACGGAGCAGACAGCGACCGCACAGAGAAACACACCCAACGAGGAACGGAACGAAGGAACAAACCGAAAAAAACGAGTGCAATGTGCCACTTGGACTACGTTCAGACTGCAGGGCTTCATGCTCAATTCCGATTTTTTTGTGAAATCCGATGTTTTTTGCGAGGTCGTTCACATTTCCAATTAAATGCGTCTTGTATGTGTCTCCAGTGTGAACATTAAACGGCCCAAAAGTGTCCCGCATGTGACACTGGAGACACGACGATGTCAACCGCAGCGAGCGTCTCTGTGTTTATGGAAGTTGTCCAAACACGGACACGAGCATCGAGCACACCTGGAGATTTTAAAGTTGCTCTCGTACCGGAGCCAGAACATGAACAACTTACTTGTTTTAAGGAGGAGATTGAGAAGGAGAAGAACGAGGTTTTTGGTCGTGGTGTTTTGTGGTTCAGTCTGTTGAAAGGAACGTGTGGATGTGGAGACGGAGCCAAGAGTGGTGAGTGGTGATGTGCTTCACTTCAGTGACATGGAGTTCATTAACAATATTTGCCGACTTCAGCGCAGAATAGTGAAATTGTGTCTTGTTGATAACGTGTAGGTGGATGAATGCGCTTTGGCCGTTCAGACTGAAGTCACATGTCAAAAGATCAGATATGTATCAGTTTCAGGAGCACATATCCAAGTGTCCTGGGTCACATTTGAAAAAATCAGATCTGTGTCGTTCAGACTGTCATTAAAAGATCGGATACAGGAACATAGGGGCCAAAAAATCGGATTTGTGTCACTTCAGGCTGCAGTGTGAACGCAGCCTTCTAGACACGACTGAACAACTGAGTCACTGCGAACACGTCGACAATCCGTTGGTCCCAGACACACCCTCCCTACACGCCACAACTGAACAAAGCCCAGAGTCACCGTGAACGAACAAACAAACAAAACCACTCACCCATCACACTGTTGTGTTTCCTTTAAAGTCCCACGCGGTTTATTTGTGAAAAAAGTTAGAAAACAGACCATTTAATGACAGTGCGTCTTATAATCCAGAACAACTAATAGTGTGGAAAATACGGTAATTTAATATTGATTAGAAATTAGTTGTACAGTTTTTGTTTTGTTTTTTCATAAGATTTATAATTTAAATGAACTTAATATTGTTGAAATTTCAAAATGATACAGAAAGAAGATTTTCAAGATACTCAGAGACGTTTTTACAAAGGCAATTAACAGAAAAAGACAGTTAATGAAAGGTGGTTTTAAAACATGTGTCTGATTTAATGAACATTTTTGCTTTGAATTTAGTAATAACCCAGTTGTTGCAGTGAATCTACAAAGAGACTCGTGTGGAATCAGTTAACCAAACATTTTTAATTAAATCCAACATTTCATTTCTTAGTGTGTGGACATGTTACTTCAAACTGTAATGTGTTATTTATTTATTTATGACGTGTTTCTGTCATTTCAGAGTAATTTGTTAAATTACAATATTACTGTGTTTAAAAAGTAAAACATTACAAAAATATTACAAAACGTTAACTCACCAAAACAGCTGAGAGAAAATGCTGAACTTTTGAAACTGTGTATGAACTGAACCATGACTAAACCAGGAGGATGGAACCAGGACTAAACCAGGTCTAAACCAGATCTAAACCAGGTCTAAACCAGATCTAAACCAGGTCTGATCTAAAAAAGGACTAAACCAGGTCTAAACCAGGACTAAACCAGGTCTAAACCAGGACTAAACCAGGTCTAAACCAGGACTAAACCAGGTATAAACCAGGTCTAAACCAGATCTAAACCAGGTCTGATCTAAAAAAGGACTAAACCAGGTCTAAACCAGGACTAAACCAGGTCTAAACCAGGACTAAACCAGGACTAAACAAGGTCTAAACCAGATTTAAACCAGGTCTGATCTAAAAAAGGACTAAACCAGGTCTAAATCAGGACTAAACTAGGACTAAGGTAGGACTAAACCAGGACTGAACCAGGACTAAACCAGGAGGATGGAACCAGAACTAAGGTAGGACTAAAACAGGTCTAAACCAGGACTAAACCAGGTCTGGTCTAAAAAAAGGACTAAAATCAGGTCTAAACCAGAACTAAACCAGGTCTAAACCAGGACTAAACGAGACGATGTCAGTTTTAGCAAATTTGTCTGAAGAAAAACGAAAAACCCTCCGCGTCAGTCCAGGTTAAAAAAAGCATCGTGACGCGCGTTACTCACATTTGTACCAAGTAAAACATGACCATTTTACCTTAACTCGTTACTTTTTTTTTACGGGTTTTTTAACAAAACACAAGTCCAGGTCTGTTTTTGAAAAGGTAAAAACATTCTAACATGACTTAAACCTCACGAGAGTCTAGATTCTGCGTAATTCTGACCTTGATTTTCACATAAAACAGATTTGAAGTTTGTGCGTAAAATGTGATCTTACCCACTCCACACGCGGTGCACTGGAAGAGCTCGTGTCCGCTGCACTCGGAGCAGCTCGGGTGGCACAGGACGCACTGGCCTCTGAGGGAAAAGCGGCCGCTCGGACACGACGACGACGACGCTCCAGAAAACACGACCCAGAGCGCGAGAAGAAGCGCCGAGAGCACCGGGACCGGGAGCACCGAGCGCACCGGGAGCATGACTGCGAGTGCGAGCCCGGAGCCTCCTGGTGGACTCCTGCGCCGGCCTGGCAGGTGCACGAGAGCGGTGGCAGGTGCAGGAGAGCGGTGGCAGGTGCAGGTACGCGCGGGTAAAAGGTTTTGTGGCGCGGGGCTGAGTCCGGAGCAGCAGCGCCAGGTTCAGTTACACCGACTTCAACAAGAGAAGAAAAGAGGACGGACTTCCCCCCGCGCACGTTCACGTAAATCCTGGTTTAGTCCTGGTTTAGACCTGGTTTAGTCCTGATTTAATCCTGGTTTAGTCCTGGTTTAGTCCTGGTTTAGTCCTTTTTTAGTCCTGGTTTAGATCTGGTTTAGTCCTTTTTTAGTACTGGTTTAGTCCTGGTTTAGTCCTTTTTTAGTCCTGGTTTAGACCTGGTTTAGTCCTTTTTTAGTCCTGGTTTAGTCCTGGTTTACACCTGGTTTAGTCCTGGTTTACACCTGGTTTAGTCCTGGTTTAGTCCTGGTTTAATCCTTGTTTAGTCCTGGTTTAGTCCTTTTTTAGTCCTGTTTTAGTCCTGGTTTAGTCCTTTTTTAGTCCTGGTTTAGATCTGGTTTAGTCCTGGTTTAGATCTGGTTTAGACCTGGTCTAGTCCTGGTTTAGACCTGGTTTAGTCCTGGTTTAGTCCTGGTTTACTCCTGATTTAGTCCTGATTTAGTCCTTGTTTAGTCCTGGTTTAGTCCTTGTTTAGTCCTGGTTTAGTCCTTTTTTAGTCCTGGTTTAGTCCTGGTTTAGTCCTTTTTTAGTCCTGGTTTAGACCTGGTTTAGTCCTTTTTTAGTCCTGGTTTAGTCCTTTTTTAGTACTGGTTTAGACCTGGTTTAGTCCTTGTTTAGTCCTGGTTTAGTCCTTTTTTAGGACTGGTTTAGTCCTGGTTTAGTCCTTTTTTAGTCCTGGTTTAGTCCTGATTTAGTCCTTGTTTAGTCCTGGTTTAGTCCTGTTTAGTCCTGGGTTTAGTCTTTTTTAGTCCTGGTTTTAGTCCTGGTTTAGTCCTTTTAGTCCTGGTTTAGTCCTGGTTTAGTCCTGGTTTAGTCCTTTTTTAGTCCTGGTTTAGTCCTGGTTTAGTCCTGGTTTAGTCCTGTTTTAGTCCTGGTTTAGTCCTGGTTTTAGTCCTTTTTAGTCCTGGTTTTAGTCCTGGTTTAGTCCTTTTTTAGTCCTGGTTTAGACCTGGTTTAGTCCTTTTTTAGTCCTGGTTTAGTCCTGGTTTACACCTGGTTTAGTCCTGGTTTAGACCTGGTTTAGTCCTGATTTAGTCCTGATTTAATCCTGGTTTAGATCTGGTTTAGTCCTGGTTTAGTCCTTTTTTAGTCCTGGTTTAGATCTGGTTTAGTCCTTTTTTAGTCCTGGTTTAGTCCTGGTTTAGTTTTATCCTGGTTTTAGTCCTGGTTTAGTCCTTTTTTTAGTCCTGGTTTAGTCCTGGTTTAGTCCTGGTTTTGTCTGGTTTAATCCTTGTTTAGTCCTGGTTTAGACCTGATTTAATCTGGTTTAGTCCTGGTTTGACCTGTTTAGTCCTGGTTTAGTCCTGTTTAGTCCTGGTTTAGTCCTGGTTTAGTCCTGGTTTAGTCCTGGTTTAGTCCTGGTTTAGTCCTGGTTTAGTCCTGGTTTAGTCCTGGTTTTAGTCCTGGTTTAGTCCTGGTTTAGACCTGGTTTAGTCCTGGTTTACTCCTGATTTAGTCCTGATTTAGTCCTTGTTTAGTCCTGGTTTAGTCCTGGTTTAGTCCTGGTTTAGTCCTGGTTTAGTCCTGGTTTAGTCCTGGTTTAGTCCTGGTTTACACCTGGTTTAGACCTGGTTTAGTCCTTGTTTAGTCCTTGTTTAGTCCTGGTTTAGTCCTGGTTTAATCCTTGTTTAGTCCTGGTTTAGACCTGGTCTAGTCCTGGTTTTAGTCCTCATTTGGTCCTGGTTTAGTCCTGGTTTAGACCTGGTTTAGACTTGGTTTAGTCCTGGTTTAGTCCTGGTTTAGTCCTGGTTTAGACCTGGTTTAATCCTGGTTTAGTCCTGGTTTAGTCCTGGTTTAGACCTGGTTTAGTCCTGGTTTAGTCCTGGTTTAGTCCTGGTTTAGTCCTGGTTTAGTCCTGGTTTAGTCCTGGTTTAGACTTGGTTTAGTTCTGGTTCTGACTCGGTTCTCTCTGCTCGGGTAGTTTGACCAGATCAGATTTCAAAATAAAAAAAAATAAAAAAAACTTGGACACCCCCTTGGTAAGAATAAAATTGTGAATCGTGTGCATAATTAAGAAAAATAATTTTGCTCTCTGCACATTCACGACCAACATGAGTCAGGATAGTCACATTTTCTTTGTGTTTTGGTCATTTTTAAGCAGCTTGTCTGTATTTTACCTAAACAAAAGTGAATTTATGCATCTTCTTTTTACTTTTGGTGGGTGTCAAACTGTCAAAAAAGCATCAGGGGCATTTCTTGTCACTAGACTCATTTGGATGATTTCAACTCTGGAATTGCCAATTTTTACTGAACTAAACTTAAAAGGAGATGTTCACTTGAAAACTACCGCTTCATGACATCACAAGGTGGAACACAGCATTATATTTATTTATTTGTTTGTTTATTTAAGTAGCCAGAGGTTGTTTTTTCATCTGTCGTCCCTGGACAGATGTAAACATGTTCACCCTAAAAACACAACAATAAGAATTATACAAAAAGTGCAGTTGTGCATATTTGAGTTTTCTTCCTTATGACCAGAGGTGGGGAATTGCAAGTCGTGACTTGGACTTGAGTCACGACTTGAGTCACTATTGTTAGGACTTGAGACTTGACTTGATAAAAGGGACAAAGACTTGGGACTTGACTTGACATTTAATGTATAAACTCTTATATCCTCTATAAATACTCATATATAAATGTACTATGATTTTTTTTAAAGTACAATTTATCTTAAAATTCATATAAATTGCAAAAATCTGAGCTATATTTGGTATTTTGGTTTAAAGACTTGAAGTCCTCCGCTTGAGCGTGAGATTGACAGGTGGACAGGTGCGGCGTCTGCAGTGATGCGGTCGCTGTGTCGGACCGATGTGGTGAAGAGGAGCTGAGCCCAAAGGTGAAAGGTTCCTCCTCTCACCTCCGGTCATGAGCTCAGGGTCATGACCGACAGGACGAGATCGCTGATACAAGCGGTCGGAATGAGTTTCCTCCGCAGGGTGTCTGGGCGTCTCCCTTAGAGACAGAGTGAGGAGCTCAGTCACACGGGAGGAGCTCAGAGTAGAGCCGCTGCTCCTCCACGTCAAGAGGAGCGACTGAGGGGAGGACATCTGTTCTGATGTCTCCTGGGCGTCTCCCTCTGAAGGTCTTCATGTCCCACCAGGAGGAGGCCCCGGGGAAGACCCATGACACGCTGGAGGGACTCTGTCTCTGGACTGGCCTGGGAACACCTCAGGTCCCCCTGGAGGAGCTGGAGGAAGTGTCTGTAGAGAGGGAAGTCTGGGAGTTCCTGCTTAGACTGATGCCCCCACAACCCGGCCCCGGATAAGCAGAACGAAATGGATGGATGGACTTGAAATGACTTGAAGCTCAAAGCAGATGACTTGGACTTGAGGTCATAGACTTGAGCCTTGCAAAACAACGACTTGGTCCCACCTCTGCTTATGACTTATTTCTATTTCATTTTGTCTTGCACATTTATGTAAGTAAGTCTTTATTTATATAACACTTTTCACAGACATTTTTTATCCCCAAAGACGTTTTACAGAACATTATTCATTCGCTCTTTACCCTGGTGATGGTAAAACTACTATTGTAGCCACAGCTGCCCTGGGGCACACTGACAGAAGTGTGGCTGCCATGCCACTCGGTCCCTCTGACCATCACACACACACACAAGGCAATGTGGGTGAAGTGTCTTGCCTAAGGACACAATGATTGAATTGATTGTATTTAACTGACCTTGACTATCAGCTGTTCTGGAGACCTGGAGCATGTTTTGGGTTGATGGGGGAAACCGGAGCGACTGGAGGAAACTCATCCAGAAAGACCCGGGCGACCTGGGGATCAAACCCAGAACCTTCTTGCTGTGAGGCATGAGTGCTAGCCACTCAGCCACTGTGCAAATATGTTTTATTTGACACCAGACTCTTGCTCTTTTTTGCTGTTTATTTAGAATTTATTATCACCATTTATATATTTTTTACTCTGTTATTAAATTATATTCAAGTTTACTACAAAAATAGGGACAGAGACATTTTTTGAACAAAACTGGGACAAATTAGTGATTTTGGATAAATCTGCTGGGACAGGGGACACAAGGCTCAAAACTGGAACTACCCCGGGTCAATGGGGACGTGTGGTCACCTTAAATGCTCCGCGCGTGGATCTTTGGTGATCTCTGGTCTGGTTTTGGTTCGTTTCGTTTTCGGTTTTACGCACCGTCAGTCGCTCGTTTTTTCCGTCATTTAACGCAAAGCTGCAACTTTCCCCGCAACTTTTTTCCCACCAGCTGCGCTTTCCTCTCAGCCCATGAATGAAACTCCTGCGAACGCGCGCGAGCCACAGCGTCCTCTGGTGGCGTTTTGTCGCGTCGGCGTTGCGCGCATGACGTCAGACGGCGGCGGAGGAGGCGGGGCCAGGCTCTGCTGCAGCGGAGAAATGTGACATGGGGCAGAGCAGCGCCAGACAGCAGCCCCGACACCAGGAATCCGCGCTCCCAGTCTGAAGCTCCACCGTTGGGGGGAGGATACGGCGACGGCGACATGACCGGACACGGCACGGTAAGGCGCGGCGCGGCACGGCACGGCACCCCGGACACCTCCTTTTCCCCTTTCCCCCTTTTCCTGCGCGCTCAGACCCGACACAGCCGCTCCTGCCCCGGATGAGGGAGACACAATAGCCCGCTCTGCAGACAGGTGCACCTGCCTCGATGGATTCAAACACGCGTAAAGAGCCAATACGGGTTATTTTAGCAGGAAAACAACGACCGGGAGGAGGCCGGTGTCCGCGCGTAATAGTGGACAAACAGTAGCGTCAGTCTGTCCCGCGCTCTGGACATGGATGTTCCGTTTGCTTAGTCACAGAGCGATAAAAAAACACACATTTTTACCCCGACAGCACCGCGGGAACCATTCAGAAAACACCTCATTCAATCCGTGACCCGCTCCAGACACAAACGCGCATCCTACGTCTTCAAAATCATCCGAAATGGGGCATTGATTAGCCCGTGTGGAGCATGTAAACCGGCTCGGATTGATCCACGCGCGCCACAGTCATTATTATTATTATTTTTTTTTTCGCCTTCATTTAGGCTTGAGGATCGTGGAAGTGGCACAGCGGCGCTCTGATTCCTCACCGTACCCCCGTGCCGTTTGTGCCGGAGCTGGCCTCATTTAGCTACTCTCACTCTCAAAACGACTGGACAGGGCCTAAGTCTGTGTCTGCTCACCTCCTCCTCCTCCTCCTCCTCCTCCTCCTCTTCTTCTTCCTCCAGTGCGTTAAGTTGAATGAAGATGGCCTTTGTTTGTCTTGTGGCTGATTTATCTCTTCACATTTGGTGTTTAGTTGGGCTTTTAAAGGGTCCACGTTAGGCTATTTTCTCATTTTTTTATGTTAAAATGTCGTTTCTTCATCACAAACAGACCCGGAGTTGTGTTTTGTTTCATTCTCAGTTGTTTAAAACCCCAAAAAACCCCTGCAGATTTAGGCAGAGTGCTTTTCACAACCTGGAAACACGTCGTTGTCATCGTTGTCGTGATGTCATCGTTGTCGTGATGTCATCGTGTGGTAGTACAAGAAGCGCTCTACGGTGTTTTTAAACTCCACGCACCTTCACTAGAATCATTTGGACGATTTCAGCTCTGGAATTGCCGATCTCGACTGAACTGAACGTAAAAAGGAGATGTTCACTTGAAAACTACCGCTTCATGACATCACAAGGTGGAACAGAGCGTTTGGAGCTTTTTTGAGCTTCTTATGACTTATTACTACTTTATTTTATATAATTACGCCTTGTTTGACCCCAGACTCTTGCTCTTTTTTGCTACTTATTTAGAATTTATTGCCATTTTATATTTACATTTTTTTTTACTCAGATTTGGACTCGAGTCAGACTTGAGTCACTATTTTCAAGACTTGAGACTTGACTTGATAAAATGGACTAAGACTTGGGACTCGACTTGGACTTGAAGGTGAGTGACTTGGGACTTGAGTTGGACTTGAGGCCTTTGACTTGAGAGGCACTTTTAAATCTGAATTCTTTCTATTCTTCTTTTTTTTGTTTTCAGATTTACTTTTTATTGAAATCACATGTTCCTGCTTTTGCATTTTTTAAAAACGTACACAAACTCAGAACAGGTTGGGCAGCGCAGGAACCTCTTCCACAAATTAACAAAACATTGCAAATATGAAGTAGATTTACGTGAAGTTCGATCTCATCGACTTTACAAACTCTGTCCGAATTCTTTCTATTCTGACCGTAAAGATTCACACTAAGATCTTGTCAAGACATTTAAAACGATCATCAATAATAAAATTTTTCGCCTTCGTTAACATTATTATTAGTTTGTGTGACCATAAACGGGTGGGGAGAAAAAATAAATAAATAAATAAAAAATAAGAACGAGGAAGAAAGAAATTTCTGGTAGAGATTTTGGTTTGTGAAATAATCAGAGCAATGAACAGTTCAGGACTGTAGAAACCTTTAAAAACGAGTATCGAGTATTGTGTTTTGGAAAATATGGAGCTGTGGAGTTGATGAATTGTGCATTGAGTTTTGTTTGTTTGAATTTATCTTTTGTCTCTTTATATGTCCAGTGAGTGGGGTTGTGAATACAAACTTGTTGTTCTTGCGTTTGGTACTTTTGTTTCAGCTCGGACTCTTCCTGTCATGATCCATGCAGTCATGGTTTATGTTTTGTTTTTGTTTAAAAAAAAAAAAGACATTTAAAAAGGAAAAAAAGTAACTACATTAATTTCTACAACTCTTATAAATACTCTTATATAAATATACTATGATTTATTAAGTACAGTTTATCTTAAAATTCATATAAATTGCAAAAATCTAAGCTATATTTAGTATGTTGGTTTAAAGACTTGAAATGACTTGAAGCTCAAAGCAGACAACTTGGACTTGACTTGGACTTACGGGCCAGTGACTTGAGACTCGACTTGGACTTGCTTCTATTTGACTTGGGACTTGACTCGGACTTGAGGCCTGTGACTTGAGAAGCACTTTTAAATCTGAATTCTTTCTGTTCTGACCGTAAAGATTCACACTAAGATCTTGTCAAGACAATTAAAAAGGAAAAATTAACTAAATTCATTTCTACAACTTCTGGGCCAGTGACTCGAGACTCGGCTTGGACTTGCCTCTATTTGTCTTGGACCCTGACTCGGACTTCAGGTCAAAGACTTGAGACTTGCAAAACAAAGACTTGGTCCCACCTCTGCCCACGGTCATGGAAATCCTGGAAAAGTCATGGAATTTTAGTGTCTCTTTCAGCGTTCTGTTAAGTTCTCATTAGACTATTCTGATTATTTCCGAACTTTTGCGCCTTTTTTAAGATGCATTTATTTGATTATGGGTGTTTTTATTGCTCAAAAATACCTCTTAAAAACACGCATTCTTACTGTGAGTGGGCTCGCCTCTTCGTAGACCTCGCCTGTAAATTACCCTGGCGGCGTCTCCTGCTTGTTTCTATGGAGATTGAAAGGTTTAATGCCATAATTTGGAAAATTGGAGGTAACCCAATAACATCTCCATCAGGGGTGTGCAAAAAATATCAAAATATCGATCTATCGTGTCGTTTAATGTGCTGATACAGTATCGATATCGTGGGCTGCTGTTTCGATAGTATTTTTAAGTATATTTTACTAAATTAATTTGTGTAAGAGTTACGGTTGTGCTGACATTTTCATTGTTTTGAGTAAAATGGGTGTTTTTCGTATGAACTTAATGGTTTAATAAAAACTTTTAGTATCAGAGCCATGATTTAACCTGAACCGTATCGAATTGATGTGAAATATATCGTATTCGATCGTATTGAATCGAAAGTGCACCGTAACAGTAACCAAAATATCGTGATCTCGTATCGTCAAAGTTCTCGCAATAACGTCGTGGACCATCACAATATATCGAATTACAAGTGTCTTTGCTTAAGTGAAGAGTTATGGTGCAGCAATAGATAAAAAAAAAGACAGAGGGAACTACATAGACCATGATCCTTTGCTCCATTTCAGTGCAGACGACAAGAAGAAGTAACAGTTCTAACACTTTTAAGTCTTAGTTCTTGGGATTAAGTCTTGTCGAGGCATTTTAAGAGGAAAAAGCCTCCACAAAATATCGCCATAAATGGATTTTGTTACATCCCTAACCCTGGGCCTCCCCTCCGTATCGTGAGCTTTCCCACGATATCGCAATAAATATCGTGCCGTGAGGTTCATACCGAGACGATATCGTATCATGAGACTTGGATATCGTTACACGCCTAGTATCAGAGCCATGATTTAACCTTTGTTTCTCTCTGAACCGTATCGAACTGATGTGAAATATATCGTATCGAATCATATTGAATCGAAAGGACACTGTATCAAAAAGCATATCGTATCGGTAACTTCTTAATGATACCGGCCCTAATCTGCATGGAGACTAGTAGGAGTGTAACAATATCAAAGTCTCTTGGTACGATATTTTCACGATATACATGTCACGGTACGATATTTATTGCGATATTTTGTGGAGATGAACAAACAAAACTGTTAAATATTCTACTTTTTCCTCTTAAAATGCCTTAACAAGACTTAATCCCAAGAACTAAGACTTAAAAGTGTTAAGAACTGTTATTTCTTCTTGTCGTCTGCACTGAAATGGAGCAAAGGATCATGGTCTATGTAGTTCCCTCTGCCTCTTTTTATCTGTTGTTGCACCAGAACTCTTCATTTAAGCAAAGAAACTTGTAATTCGATTTATTGTGATGGTCCACGATATTATTGTGAGAACTTTGACGATATTTCCGTTATTGTTACGTCCCTGATGGGCCCTCTAGCAGAAAAGTTACACAGTGCCCCTTAAAAAAAAAAAAAAAAGTTAACATTTCATATTTAGCCCTAAAAGTCTGATCAATTCTACACATGCAGCTGCCATAATGTCATGGAAAATTCACTTTGGGTCATGAAAAAGTCATGGAAAAGTTTTTAAATTTCGTCAGTGAAAAACAGTGGGAACCCTGAATATTCTAATGTGTCCAAATAATTTATTTTGTGGATCAATAGTTTGTCTAAAAGTCTAAAAAACCGACAGACTAACAATACAGATTTACTCAAACACACGTGTAAATGAAACGAAACACAACTCCAGGTCTGTTTTGGACGAGGGAAGGACATTAGAACACGACTTAACGCTCACAAAAGTCGATGTTGTGTAATCTGGGACCTTTTAATTCTCGCTGTTTACGTGATGTCATGTGTTATCCACTCGACAAAGCGATCTGGAAAAACATCTGACTTTTAACCCACACAAGAATCCAGCTTCTGTCAACAAAAGGCCGTTGTGTGTCTGTGTGCGGTTGTGTCGTGGTGATTAGACCTGTCACAATAATGACTTCTGGGGATTTTTTTTTTTGGCGATATGATCAGATTTGAACTGTAGAAGGTTTAATTTATAACTTCTCTGACTGCTTGTTTCTATGGACGTCATTACTGTACCTCAAATGTTCCACAGTGTGACATTAAACAGCTCTAATAAATAAATAAATCTGTAATATTGATGATTAGATCTGTC